GATGCACATCACCTAATATGCTTAATTGGTAGTAGGCTTTCGAGCCTATACAGCTTGGAGTAAGACAACATGCATAAAGAGGATGATGTGGTCAAAATACTCATTTGCCTAATAATTCTGCACTCCCTGTAGTGATAGACAGGGTGTGAAGCGTGGTGTTATGCTACAAGGGGTTTTGGAATTGGAACTCAACTGCAGCTTGTAGAACTCCTTAATTATAATAGCAAGAAAGCGAAGAATCTTTTTAATTATTAAGGATACTGTAGCTTTAAAGCAAAGTGGTGGTTGCAGGCAGTTAGTGAAAAAGGCGTAGTCTTAATGAATGCAATAATATTGTAATAACTGCGGGTTATAGCATGCAAGTAACAATTCATTAGGAAGTAACTGCAGGTTATAGCAAGCAAGAAACAGTTCATTAGTAAGTAAATCTTCAGAGATGGAAGCGAATAGTATACTTAAGATTGATGGGAGTTGTCCTCCATGGGAATAGCATGCAAGTAACAATTCATTAGGAAGTAACTGAAGATTATAGCAAGCAAGAAACAGTTCATTAGTAAGTAAGTCTTCAGAGATGAAAGTAATTAGTATACTTAAGATTGATGGGAGTTGTCCTCCATGGGAATGAATAGCTTGAGTCCAAGGGATGAATGACATACACAGTCCGGTTTTCAGGAGACAAGAACTGATCCAATACAATCCGTTGTCAGAGGTACAGAGAAGGCAAAATCCTTTATAATAGTCCAAGGTTTGGTAACTTTGTGAACGAAGTGCTCAGTCGGCGTTTGAACGCGGAAGTAGATCCGAGAATCACCAAACGGTTTGAATCTGGTGCGGTCTCTCTATATAGCGTAAGAGAGCCGCGTCAGAAAGGGGGCGGGGCCGGCTCCGCATTCCAGAAACGCCGGAACGGAGCCGGAACAGATACGGCCTGACACATGGAAGGAAAGGGAACAGAGACATGGATGGAAGGGGGATAGAAGCCAGCAAAGTGGAGAGTACACCTTACCCTGCATGGAGATTGATAAGGAATTAGGGAGCGAGCGGAGAGGACACTGCGGCTACACCTAAGGTGTGACACCTTACCTACCTGGCTGAGACTGCAGTTTGCAGAGGGAGTGAGGGAGCGAGCGGACACTCTAGACAGTGGCATTACTACTGAGATATTAAGTAACTTGAAGTAAAGCTTTTAAATAAATTATGTTTGTACCCAGGATTACATTTTGTGCGCATGAGAATTAAACAAGTAATTTTAGTTTGTTTTGCTCTAGATTCGCAAACATTTATATTTAACAGGCAGCACAGATAACCAGTTACATTATTCTATCTACTCATTATGATATTACTAAGATAAACACAGTAGCACCGTACACAGCCAGCACAAAACCATCACACATTGACAGCACAAAATGATCACACACATTCTCATCACACAGAGTCAGCCCAGTGCTAACACACAGTTTCAATCACATGTAAACAGTCCAATAGCATCACACACAGACAACCCAATACATCACATGCAGTCCCCATTACACTCAGACAGCCAAATATATCACACACAAACTGTAACTAGTGATGTCCCAAACGGTTCGCCACGGACTCATCATTGAGTAAACTTTGACCCTGTACCTCAGTCAGCAGACACATTCCAGCTAATCAGCAGCAGACCCTCCCACCTCCTGGACAGCATCCATTTTACATTCAATGTGAAGCTGCATTCTTAGTGAGCTGTCCAGGAGGTGGGAGGGTCTGGGAGGAAGGGTCTGCTGCTGATTGGCTGTAATGTGTCTGCTGACTGTGAGGTACAGGGTCAAAGTTTACTCAATGATGAGTCCGTGGCGAACCGTTCGGGACATCACTAACTGTAACCATTACACTCAGACAGCCCAATACACAGTCTCCGTTACATCCAGATACCCCAGTCAGGGCCGCCATCGGGGTTGTCATGGGCCTGGCGGTCCTAATGCTCTGCATATCCGGGCCCCCGCCCTTCAATGTGCATATATATATATGCCTCTGCGGGCCCTGCTGGCTTCACACTCCCCTCCAGCTCCAGCATACTCGCTCCGCGGCACGCAATGCATGCCGGGCTCGTGACAGAAGTACAGCCCGAATAGGAAAGATGAAGACTGGACCAACTGCTGAGCCACTGACTGGATCACCAGGGAACCCAGTGTCCCCCCTCCCTGGCTAGAGGTAAGAGGCAGGGAGGGGGGGAATACACTTTGTTTTGAATTAATAAAATTAATATACTTTAATTTTTTTTAATTAATCAAAATTAAAAGGAAAAATAATACCCTCAATGCATTTGTGAAATGTAAAGACACATTCACCACACACACACATCATCCACCACACAAACTGCATTCACTACACAAGCACACACAGCATCATCTACACAAACACACACATTATCGACTACACAAACACACAAACTGCATTCACTGCACAAACACACACTTTGCAGTCACTATACACACTGCATCTAATACACACAAACACCCACTCTGCAGTAACTATACACACTGCATCTAATACAAACACTACATCCACAACACAAACATACACTATGCATTAATTATACTCACACTACATCCACTACACACTCTGCAGTCACTATATACACACACTGCATCCACTACACACTCTGCAGTCACTATATACACACACTACATCCACTACTCAAACACACACTCTGCATTCACTATACACACAAACACATCTGCTACACAAACACACTGTATTCATTACACACACATACACACACTACACCCACTACACAAACACACATTCTGCATTCACTTTGCACACTCTACATCCAGTACATACTCTGCCGTCACTACATACACACACTACATCCACTACTCACACACTCTGCATTCACTATACACAAACACATCTGCTACACACACACACTACACCCACTACACAAACACACATTCTGCATTCACTATACACACTCTACATCCACTATACACACACTACATCCACTACACAAACACACACTCTGCATTCCCTATGCACACTACATCTACTACACAAACACAGACTCTGCATTCACTATACAGTATATTGCCCTGGTAAGGGTTATATATCAGTCGAATCTATAAATAATAAAACACTCTTCAAATGTGCTTTAAAATGCATGGTTACTCTTTTGTGAGCAAGAATGTAATGTTATAAGATGGGGTTGGTATAATGACGCAGTGCTATGGGCCTGCGTTTATTTCCAGGGCTGGTTTTTATCCCAAGTCCAGCACTGAGGTGGTGTGATGTTCCACTGTTATGCTTGTTAAAAGGTGTAATTTACCTGTGTTATGCTTGTAATATGGTGACAAGCAATTCACTGGCACATCACCATCATCAAGTATAAATATGTGTAATATATATTTATGAGTTAAAGCTGATAACACAGATTCATTAGAGCAAACCAATTATTGGCATTATTTGGAAAGCATTGTTTATGAAGATTTGCGATTTCACGTGCGCTAGCTGATGGAGTTGTCCTTGTAGTGTTTTCATATAGAGGGGGGCCTATGGGTGACTGGCAGGACTCTGTTCATAAGAAACCTTAAGGAACTTTCAATTCCTCTTTATTCACTTTTTTATGGGGCAGAGATATTGAGGAAACAAAATATAATATTAGATCTGTTTCTTTAGCTTCCCTTTACATGGTGGAGAACTTATTTAGGAGTCATGCTAGGGTGAGGGGGGTAGGTAGGGGTTAATTTTTTTGGGGAATGGGGTGACTAGGGGTTTGGGGACCCTTAGTTACCTGCGGGAGGGGGGGGTTATTTTTTTATTTAGGGTCCCCACCCGACGCTCAGGGGTGGGGGCCAGGGGGAGGACATTAGGTCCCCCCCAATTAGTATTTAGGGCCCCCACCCACCGCTCATGGGTGGGGGCCAGGGGGAGGACAACAGGTCCCCCCCCTTATTTTACTTTAGGGCCCCCACCTGCCGTTCAGGTTAGGAGGGGTGGGACGTGTTTTTTCTTTTTTTTTTTTTTTACAGGCTGCTCACTGTTTAATAGACATGCCCCTACTCGCGGTATAGCGAGTAGGGGCTTAATTTACTAATACTAAGTAATCTTTACTTAGTATTAGTAAAAGACCAATTTAGGTCTTTCAGCCTTTTAGTAGATAGCTCCCTAATACCGTAGGAATTAGGAAGTTATCTACTTATTCATTCCTGTCATTACATTGACTGGCCAAGTAACTTACATTTTATATGAATGCATGTTACTTAATTGTTGTAAGTGTTGCAAATGCTAACAGCTGAATCCTGGCTATGTAAAATTGTATACAGTGTAACATTCTTCTTCTTCCACTGGATAAGTATATTAATACTCAGGCAAAACTTTTCCTCGGAACTTCGGCAATGCGGCAATTCGGAACTTCGGCACTTTGGAAATTCGGTAATTTCAGAACTTCGGGACCTCGGTAATTCTGCACTTCGGCTATTCGGAAATACCCGAATGTCTGAATTTCCTGAAATTCGACCGAATACATATTCGGGCCGAAATGAATTGCACATGTCTAGTTTCTCTTCAGTAGCGGAGCCAAGCAGTGGGAGCCTGAGAGAGAGTACATTCTTTCAGCACTTCCTTTTGGCACAGGGTGCTGTGTGGAGGGAATGGATGGAGCTGCTGTAAGTACCACTTTCTTTTGGTGCTTAAAACAGCTTCTGTCTGGTGAAGAGCCCTAAGAGTGTGCTCAGATTCTCTAATGCTCAGCTGTGCTTATAATAACATCATTAAAATCCAATTCAAACGGCCCTGGTTCTCCCCTCAGATGCTCTTTTAGCCTCAGTCAGATAACATTTACTCCTTGCTTAACCACTCCTTGACTTTGTCACCAATAACAATTATGCTACCTAGTAATATCTTAGCATTTCAAGACAGTAAATATACAACAAGTTACTTTTAAATCAATTAGTTTATTGCAAAATATATTTTACAATATTTTTCCTGGAGCCTCTAACACACAAAAGGTGGAAATTCAGCTGAAAATTATGGAAACAGTTAATGTAAAAAAAGGAAACATATACATACATAGAAGGATATAATACACCATACATCATAGATTCCAGGGAAATATCCATCCAGGAATTAAGGAGCTCCACTACACGATTTGTCTGTCTGTCTGCCATGCATGTGTGCAGGCTCAGCTCTCTGTCAGAAAGTTGTGCAAGTGGTTTGTATATGCCATTTTTTGCCATTCGATTTTCAATTCTCTACAATTTGGATTTTAGTCAATAGACTAAAGTTACGCATTTTAAACTCTACCCCCAGGTTTCTTGGTCATCTATGACATTCAAGGAATTCTGGGTGTTGTAGGATATCAGTATCTGGGGGTCAGAGTTTGAAATGTCTGTCATAAGCATAATTCAAATAATAATTCATAATTCAATGAGAGTAAAACATTAATATGATTTGGGATGATGTATAGAAATATGAATTTAGGAAAGAGCTTTAAATCCTTAGAAACACTGAAATCAGTGCAATGTTCTTGCTTTTACGATAGGTTAGTATAGTGATTATACCACTTTAAGAACTCTATTCAACTTTTTTTCATATAATTATTCTTATTTAAAGGACAGCTATATTCAATTTATTAATTCTGATTTTTGTTTTAAGTTTATTACAGTTAAAGAAATAAGGATATTTTTTAAAAAAAATTATGTATATATATATATTTTTTTTAGAAACCTACACTTGTTATCTGACAAGCTGCTCAACCTAACTTGCTTTCTGCTGCAATAGTTCTATTGCGGCAGGCAACTTAAGTTGAGATGCACCTGGTCAGATAATAGTAGAGTTTGTCACAACATGTCTGATCAGAAAAATAAACAATTTCTAAAAGAAAACCAATGTGCATCATTTAGATCAATATACACCAATTAGGAAAATGAGACACTATATTCACCAAAAAAAACTTAAGCTTATTGAAGCAGTTGTGGTGTATAGATCATTCCCCTGCAGTCTCACTGCTCAATTCTCTGCCATTTAGGAGTTAAATCCCTTTGTTTATACAGCCCTAGTTACACCTCCATGCATGTGACTTACACAGCCTTCCTGTAAAATGAGAGCTAATGATTACACTTCTTTTATAGCACAGTTTGTTTAATTTAGAATTTCCTATCTCCTGCACTTTTAATAGCTTGCAAAAAACTTGCATTAGCCTCTTGTCTGTGATTAAAGATCAATTTAAAGAGCAGGCGATTACACCATGTAAAGTAAGTTAACATCTGATTTAAAATGAAACAATTTTTTTTCCTGCAGACTGTGTCAGTCACATCCATGGGAATTGTGGCTAGAGTTGCATGGGCAGAAACAAAAGTGATTTAACTCCTAAATGGCAGAGAATTGAGCAGTGAGACTTGAGTTGCATGATCTATACTCAAAAACCGCTTTCTTACACTGAAGTTATGTTGGTGACTATAGCGTCCCTTTAAGTCTAATTAAATGTAGTAAACATTTAAAACATAAAGAGTGAAAATGTAATGACAGTTGTCTTTTTAAGAAACCTAATATGGATGGGCAGCGCTATCTGAGTAGTATATCAGATTCATTATAATCATACTAATTGAAGTAGAGAAATAAAAAATGTAAGGAATGGTGAATGATTAACATTGAAAAATATAACATAAAACTAATATGGTAACATTGACTGTGGAATTCAATGTGACTCTCAGGAGCATCTTTATAAAATAGTACAAACATTCTGAGTCACTGTAATATAGCAAGTTTCATTTGAATACAGTGTTGTTACAGGTTACACTTACAAGAGTGATGTTTTTTTCTGGAACTGTTATGGTTCGGATGTACGAAGAGTTAGAATTAGAAGGCACTCCCTAAGCTTTATAGGTCTATCCACAATGGATGTAGGGTACATCTTCACACAACATGTTGATTACTGTAATTCACATCACTCTCAGTCGAGTGAATGGGGTTACAATTCTATAATCTGTACTATAACATTGTGTTCTAAATGCAGTGCCGTTATAGTGCCACTATGGCGCTCACCATTTTTGATCTGCCATTTTTGGCAGTAAGCTATAAATAGCTATTTTCAATTGACATTTACTTGCTGTCTGTAGTGTAGCCATTCAGGCATTTTAGAAATTCTTGTTTTCTTAAAACTTTTAATAGCTTGTTTGACTTTTTCAGAGGTTGGATCGGCGCAAGTTTTTTCCCCGTTTTTCAGCGTTACTCTGTTAATAAAAAGAACACATGGATTTATGTAATGATATAATACAATATTCAGGTACTGAATGATTGTTAAAACACTGCTAATATTTAGCAAAGCTGAACATATTAATGGGTGAAAAAAAAAAAAAACAAGGTAATTTTAGAGTAAAAATCCAGACAAACAAATAAATAGTTATAACATATTATGCAAAGCTCCCTCCATGTGAAAAACCCCTAATTTGTGGATAGGTTGTACCTACTGCTATATTTGCCCAGGTCATCTTTGCCCAGTACAGATAACTGGTAACAGTCAGTGTGCACCAAATCGGCACTGAAACACACATTGCAAGTGCTGCTAAATAAACATTTATATTGTATGACGTGGCCCATTATTCTGTTATTAAATTATATTTCTATAATACAATCATTTAGAACACATTTGTGGGAGGGGGAGGGGAGGGGGGGGGCTACGTAGTTCCTGTCTGCTGCCTCTCTTCTGCAGTATTTTGCCAATAGACAGCCCTGTGCATATTGATTTCCACGCATAGGGCAAGAAAGGGAAATGCCCCAACAAGGAATTTGCCTTTTCTTTGAACAAATGGGGCCAGTGAGTGACTATGTCATAAGATATTATAGCTTTGTCCCCCTCCCCACCCACCCACCTGGAACATGTACTATGCATATTCCAGCCTGTTCACCTCCAGCAGTATTTAATTGGCAGCAGAGTTACGAGGCTACAGCCCCAAATTAAAAATCATTATTAAAACATCATATTGAATATTTTTTTTCCAGAGCTTAATAGCAGTTAAAGTGGGGAAAGCTTTATAGATTTGTAGTAAAATATAATACTGAATATTGTGTCCAGGGTTTAGGAGTAGTTAAAAAGGAGGAGACACTCTAGATCACTAATAAAATCTCATTTAGAATATTTTATAGAGAAAATTCTAGAATGGTAGAAAGTGCACAATGATATGAATCAAAACATTCTGAGAGAACAATAAATTGGAGGTCATGGCAAGAAATACAGTACGTATCACAAGTAAAACGAGTTGTTGATGCATGGAATTGTCTTGAGCAGAGGTGGCATGCACGGACTGCTGTTCCAAGAACGCAACATAACAGAATAAAGTCTATGTTTACTTTTGTAGCAAATAGGCACTTTATTTTATTTTAGAATTACTATTTTAACACTATAGTATTGTCAGTATTATTGACAATTATCTCTCTTTTAAACAGTGGACATTTGCCCATATCAGTAGTCATGTCGTGTTTCTATGTAATGAACAAAAGGTTATACTTACATGTAAACTTTTCGTGAACAGAATGTGTCCATTTCTTTGTAGTCTACAATATTTCTTGCCTTCAAATACTTTGTTAGGGTACCGTGGCAGCATGGGTTTTTTTCATTTTTAACTAGAAAAAAAAATCCCAGGGTAAATAATAATCATAATTTGGTATTCATTTTTCACCCTGCTAAATCATCAAGAATATACTAAATTTCATTTACAAAAATAGATATTTCTGCTCTGACCTTTTATTTTAAAGAATTTTTTTTATTCATTATGTAAAGCAGAAATATACATTTACAATAAATGGACAACACTTTGTTACTACTGAAAAAAATGACAAATTTTCCAAATTTTCTGCTTCCCTTGATGCGGAATCATAACATACACATTATAGATAAAATCCATAGTTATTTTGTAGAAAATACAGCAGGCTGTTTGTTGAGTTTGCACGTTATGAAAACTGATATTCTGATTGACTTACCTGTGTCACACCTGTAAAATAAAAATAAGAATAAACATATAAAATGAAACTAAAACGATTAGCTTATATCTACTCCTTTTTTTTATCATAAATCTGCAATATCAAGAAAACTTAACTTCTATTTATAAGTACTTACAAGGAGAATAGGAATTCACACACGACAATCCCACTATCACTATCACCAGCAGAGCAAGGCAAGCAGGTCTCATGGTGGATGATGAGTTGGTAAAGACAGGTTATCACTGTAAACGTTGCTATTAGATAGCTGAATAGAAATGTATTGGTGTCTAACAAATTCGTATATTTATATTGTAACATCATTATGTGGGCAGAGGATTAAAGGGCAATCTTCCTTAGTTGTCAAATATGGAAAAAGTAAATATTCTAAAATAATTTTTGCGTGTTTGGGGAAAGTTCTTAGTAAGTGTGAACTGAACTATAATTACACTGAAACGTCCCTGTGGTGAGGAAGTGGTGTCCAAACAGGATGTAAGTCAGTGTGAGTGGCAAATAAGGACTCAAGAAAAGCAGATCACATAATACAGGAGGAAAATGATTGACCAGCGGAACTAATCAGAGATAGCCTTTGGGGACAAAATAGCTTTATTCTTTCCACCATTGGTGATATTAATAGAGTTATAGTTCTTTCTTTCCTAACTCTGAGTTTAGCTTCTTAACATTACAGAATTGTGAAATCCCAAGGAGTCATCTGCCATTGGAAATTTTGCATATACATGTTATTTATTTATTTATGGCAGAATATATCTAAATTGCAAAGTATAAAGTATATACTTTACATTTTTGGCTCACAGGTCTGCTAAAGAGAGCTACATTGAGCTCCTTTGATGTGGATAAACAATCAATGTTTTGGCTCCACTTAGATCTTTATCAAGATTAAATGTAAGGCTGAAATGTTGATTGTTTAGTATACCTCTTTACTTATAGTTATTCTATTTATGACATTTTTGCAACAAGTCATTACTAAATCTGCCCCAGCCAACTGTAAGTGCTAGTACTAATGGAAATGTCCAGCCACAACAACAGCTAAACTACTAAGAGGTAGGCAACGCATACTCATAGTGCATTGATCATTTGCTGCATCACTTACTACAAAGTTTAAAATTGCCATTGAAAGCAACACGAGCAAAATAACTGTATGTTTGCATGTACACAAGCCTCACATCAACATATGCAATGCTAAGCATCGGCCCAAGTGGTGTCATGCACGTTGATACTGGACTCTGGAGCAGTGGAACCATGCTTCGCTATCTGGCAGTCTGATGAAAGGATCTGAGTGTGGCAGACACCAGTAGAATGCTATGTATAGGGGTGCACAATGCTTTATGTAAAATTGTGTTTTCTCAGACTGAAACACTTGGATACTTTGAACTTTGTGGCAACAGTTTGGGAAAGTCCTTTCCTTATCTACCATGAGCACAAACAGGGCCTGTGCCAGTATTAAGCAGCCTGGCCAGTATTAAGGCTCTTCGCTGGGTATGCCGGGGCAGTTCATTTGCCCAGGCTCCAGTAAGCCACCAAGTGGCTACGCATAGGCATGCACAGCCAAATTCATTAGGGTGTACTTCAGCAAATTCTTCCCCTATGTTATGTAATGTGAATATTTATTAAAATGTTGAGTGGATGTTTGGTGTGGGCAGGGCCGGCGGTCCATAAGGCGACTCAGGCGGCCGCCTTAGGGCGCCAGAGCAAGGGGGCGCAAAAATCCAAATCCCCTGCCTCTGACTGGGAATTTGGAATTTTCAACTTACCTTGCTCTCCCTTCAGTCAGCACGGAGCAGGAGCTGGGCATGATGATGTCAGAGGAGGAGGTGTGACTTCCACTGCTACCAGACTCCCCAGCGGCTTTCAGTGGATCTCCTGCCTCCAGCTCCTGTCTGCATGGGCGTCCGCAGGGGGGGCAAGAGGGGGCACTTGCCCCCCCCTGGATTTTTCAGCTTGTGCTGCTATTTTTGGTTTGTGTGAGAATACAATGCTATACCGTTGCCGGCCAGTAGGTGGCGCTGTGAATGGAGAAAGGCAGGAAGCTACAGGTTATCCCTGCCTCACACTCATGACTGAAACCGCAGGGGAGCAGCACAGAGGCAGCTTACAGAGCAGGTAATTGAGGGATGGGGGGGGGGCCTCATCACCCTCAGCATCACCACCCCTCACTATCACCCCTCTCACTATCACCACCCTCAGCATCACCCCCCTCACCATCATCCCCCCACCACCCTCAGCATCACCCCCTCACTATTATCCCTCACCACCCTCAGCATCACCCCCTTTACGCACCCTCTCCCTCAGCAGCATTACCCCCTCTGTCACCATCACCCTCCCCCATCACCCTCTTACAGCATCACACCCCACCCTCAGCATTACCTCCCCTCACCATCACTCCCTCCCTCAGCATCACCCCCCTCATCACCCACAGTATTACCCCCATCACCCTCTCCCTCAGCAGCATTACCCCCTCTGTCACCATCA